AACATTTACCTCAAGTAGATACACTCCTTGGAGAGAACCATCATTGGAGAAAGAAGGGCTGCTTATGCACAGGGAAACAGCTCAGGGGGCAGGAGTATAAGGAGGATGGACACTGGGAAGAGGTAACTATCGGGAGGAAGTAGGAGAGGAGCTGTTGCATTGTGGTAAACTGTGGTCAATGATATGAGACAAAATATATGTGAACTGCTGTATAGAAAGTGAATTTGCTCTGTAAATCTTCATCCAAATCACAATAAAAAAAAAACTAGTCAACAGACTCCAACAAGAGATCCAAAAAACAATACATCAGGAACAAGTGGGATTCATACCAAGTATGTAAGGATGTTCAACATTAGAAAAATAATAGATGTAATCCATTACATAAGTAAAATAAAAGAAAATATCACACATCATATCAAGAGATGCAGAAAAGGCATTTGGCATTTGATAAAATCCAACATCCATTCCTGATAAAAACTCAGAAAAATAGGACTAGTAAAAAAGTTCCTCAAAATAATGAAAGCATATATGCAAAACTAACAGCCAACATTATTCTCATTGGAGAGACTGAAACCATTCCACTTATAAACAGGAAGCAGACAAGGATGCCTTCTATCTCTGCTTCAACATTTTACTGGAAGTCCTAGCCAGGGCAATAAGACAATAAAAGAAAATAAAAGGCATCCAAATTGGTAAAGAAGTAAAACTATCCCTATTTGCAGATGATTTGATTGTATACATACAAAACCTGAGACTCAGCAAGAAAACTATTGGAACTTACTGAAAAATTTGGCATAGTAGCAGGATACAAAATCAACACACAAAAATCAGTTGGATTCCTCTACATCAGCAAAGAGGTCTCTAAAAAGAAAGTAAGGAAATCAATACCATTCACATTAGCTACCAAAAAGATAAAATATTTAGGAACCAATCTTACCAGGAACACAAAAGACCTAAAAAGAAAACTACAATACAATACTTCAAGAAACTATAATTAAGATACCTACATAAAAAGAAGAACATAACATGCTCATGGATAAGAAGATTGAACACTGTGAAATATCAATACTACCCAAAGCAATCTATACAGTCAATGCTATCCCTATCTAGATTCCACCAATATTCTTCAAAAACATGAAGAAACCAATCACTAATTTCATATGGAAAGGAAGCTGACGTCAGATAAGCAAAGCACTACTTTAGAAGAAAAAGTAGAAGGTCTCACAGTCCCAGATCTCAAAACATACTATACAGTCCCAGTAATCAAAACAATCTGGTCTTGCCACAATGACACAAAGCCCAGTGGAATAGCTCCATTGACCTATGGTTTAGCTGATCTTTGACAAAGGACCAAAATCCTTTAAATGGGGAAGAGATACTCTCTTTAACAAATGGTGCTGGCAAAATTGCTTATCCACTTGCAAAAAGTGAAACAAGATCCATACCCCACCTCATAAACAAAAACTAACTCCAGATGATCAAAGACTTGGTGAAACCTAAAATCATGAAGTTCATCAAAAAGAAAATAGGAGTAAACTTCCAAACTAAAAAAACAAAACTCACTGCCGTGGAATCAGATCCAACTCATAGCAACCCCTCCTTGGGTTTCCGAGGCAGGATCACTACAGAAGGAGATTGCCCAACCTTCCTTCCAAGAAGTGGCTGGTGGGTTTGAACTGCCAGCCTCCTGGTTAGTAGTCAAACACCTTAGGCACTACACTACCTGAGCTCCTTAGAGGCCCTAAGGTCTATCATAAATAGACTATCAAACACAACCCAAAATATACAAACAGCAGAAGACAAACTAGATTATTGGGTCCCCCTAAAAATTAAATTCTTATAAGCATCAACAGATTCTTCCAAAAGAGTAAAAAGAGAACCTACAGATAGGGAAAAAATATTCAGCAATAGCATATCTGACAAAAGACTCATCTATAATTTATAGCAAACTCCAACACTAAACATTAAAGAGATAAACAATCCAATTTAAAAACGGGCAGAAGACTTCACCGAAAAAGATATTCAGGCAGCCAACAAACACGTGAAGAAACAATCATTAGCCATTCCAAACCAAACTGACCTCACTGCCATCAATTAACATTCCAACTCAGAGCAACCATTGGGGTTTCCAAGGCAGTAAATATTTACAGTAAAACTGCCCAGTCTTCCTTCTGTAGAGTGGCTTGTGCTCGTGGGTTTGAACTGCCAACCTTCTGGCTAGCAGTTAAATGCCTCAGGTACCACACCAGCAAAGCTCTTTCATTACCCACTGTTGTTGCTGTTGTTACATACTGTTGAGACAGACACAACTCATATCAACCCCTCCTTGGGTTTCCAAGAAAGTATCATTACAAAAGTAGATTGCCCAACCTTTCTTCCAGAGATGCAATGTACACATCATTTGCAAGTAAGAAATTTTAATATACCTATGTATTTGGGCTCTGGTAGCATAGTGCCTAAGGCACTTGACTGCTAACCAGAACGCTGGTGGTTCAAACCCACCAGCCACTCCTTGGAAGGAAGGTTGGGCAATCCTATTTCTGTAGTGATACTGCCTCAGAAACCCAAGGAGGGGACGCTATGAGTCGACTCGACGGCAAATAGCAACATATATAAACTCACTGCTGTCAAGTCGAATCCAACTCATAGCCTCCTTGGGTTTCCAAAGCTGTATCACTACAGAAACCGATTGCCCCAGCTTTCTTCTGAGGAGCGAATAGTGGATTTGAACCGCCAGCCTTCTGGTTAGCAGTCAAATGCCTTAGGCACTATGCCACCAGAGCTGCTACACACACACACACACATACACAAACATATACACACCCTTCTCAAAGATTATTAGTGGTTATCAGGGGTAGGAGAAAGTGGGAAGAGGGAAGCTTTTGTTTCAGGGCCTTGAGTTTATGCTAATGGTGGTAGAATATTTTGGAAAAGAATAGCAATAATGGTGGTATAACATGAAAAATGTCATCAATGTCCCTAAGATGTAAACATGGAAGTTATGTTGGCTAATGTCTCGTATATGTGGGAAAAAAAAAATCCTTATGCCTACAGAATTGTCATATAAAGAGGGCTTACCCAAGGTAATTTAGACTGACTCTAGATATTTTCCTCAGACATCTACCTACAAGCTATAGATACACAATTAAAAACACTAAAATATTTTTATAATGTATATCATAAACCTAGATATGAAACTGGTTTCTGAATTATGCCTTATCCTGCAGAATTTTGGCACCTGCAGCCACTGACCTTACCCAAAGCTCCTAACAACAAAATAAATTCCAAACAAGCCATGTTGCTGTTGTTGTTCTTATGTGCCATCGAGTCGGCCCCAACTCACAGCAACCCCTTCTTGGGTTTCCGAGGCAGTATCACTACGGAAGTAGATTGCCCCATCTTCCTTCCGAGGAGTGGCTGGTGGGTTTGAACACCAGCCTTCTGGTTAGCAGTGAAGTGCCTTAGGCACTATGCTACCAGAGCTCCTGCTTTGTATACTTAACACTGAGACAAGAGACTCAATTGATCACTTTAAAATACAAGCTTTGTTTCTTCTACTTCATGCTGACCCCATTATTAAATACAGTTCATTTTGTTTTAAAAATAAACTGCATAATACAATCACCACAGGTTATAAATTTAGGAGGGACCCTATTAATAGGCCAAATTCTGATTTAGTTAAAAAAAAGGTTTTGTAAATATTGAAAATGGTACAGGGAGATGAAATACAAAAGCAAAATCTTTCTATCCTTTTGTCTATTTTCAGTCCACTCAATTGTAGAATACATCATTCATCTCTAAACATTTAATTAAAATTTCTTCACAATTCAGGCATAAATAAAGATGTATTTTATAGAAGACTTTCTCCAAGATCAATATTCTAAGAAATTACAAAGCTGAGCTTTAAATCAAAATAGTTTCCCCTACTATCTGAAAGAAGTATTCCTATGAAATGTTTTGTAAGCCAAATTTTATAAATCAAAGAAGCAATCACCATTAATTCATACAGAAAAAATTTTCAGCACTCCCAGACCCAAAAAAATCACCTACCAAATCACATTAAACAATACAAAAAACCTAAAATAGTATCAACATGTAGTATTCACAGAGTTCAAAGCTATAGCAGCTTGTTGCTGAAATGCTGAGTGTAATTCTGGAAGGAAAGAGCTTAGGAATATAATCATCACTGCTAAGGGCGTGTTGTACCTTTACAATAGCTTGCTGCAAAACAAATATTGAATGCTAGTTTTGCTTTTCACTCTTTTTGTTAAAAGCAAAAGTATCCTCAAGACTTCCTTCAGTTAGTGAAAACAGGTACTAACATTTTGTACAAAACAAACTTCACTAATGAACTTTCAAAAAGCAGGGGATACTGATACGAACTTCAGGACTTAAATTTCTGACCACATGTAAGGTAAGATTAGAGCTCACAGTCCTCTGTAAGTAAAGAATGCCAGCATTCTCCCTATCTTACCTCTAGTTCATTTAGTCTCTGGATGCGAGGAGTAAATCTGAAGTTGTCAACTTCTACTGCAAAAGGAGGCTGCCAATCCTAAAAGTAAAAGAACCTGGTAATTATAGCACAGTGAAGAGGGAAAATGGTAAGAATCTCATGGCCATACTATTATCCCTCTTTTTAAAATTTCTGGTTGTTGTTTTGCCCATAAGGCCTCTTGTAAATGTTGTAATCAGGGTGAGCAGCTGAGAAAAAGGTGTTATGCAAAACATTGGCATCTACTGTAGATATATCCCTCTTAAAAGAAATTACATTAATTTCAGTTCGCATTCTTAATTTGGACAAATGTGTAGCAGTCTACAATTTTGAGTGTACAAAGCCAAAAGGGAGGCCTTGAAGCAAACAATACCATTTTTAAAAGATTCTAAACCCCTTCCATCATGATGTATGCTTTTTACACACAGTATAGTTAAAACAAGAAAATGAGAACATTACAAATAATTCATTACAACTACGTAAGTTTGTGTATTGAAGATTCTTCTGGGGACATTGAAACTTCTTCTCAACTTAAGTGTGGTTCCCAAGGACTCCACGTAATGGAGTAGAACTGTCCTGTAAAGTTTTCTACACTGTCATCTTTCCAAAGAGTTGAAACAGTCAACTTTTCAGTTAGCATTCAAGAACCTAATACTTAATCGTTGGACTACAAGGCTGCTTCAATGTTATGTACTAAAGAGATGGATATTATGTTATAAATGAGTCTAAGAGTGGCACTGTGTATAACCGATTTCCAATCAGATTTTTTGTCTCTAAAGCAGACAGATTTTCATAATCACAGTTTGGCGATCCCCACTGTGAAGATGTTGTTGCTGTTATGTGCCACTGAGTGGGACCCGACTCATGGCGACCCCTCCCTGGGTTTCCACCACAGAAGTAGATTGTCCAACCTTCCTTCCCAAGAGTGGCTGGTGGGTTTGAACCCCCAGCCTTCTGGTTAGCAGTCAAATGCTTTAGGTGCTACCAGAGCTCTCACATTGAAGATACTGGATACGAATTTTCTTACCATAGTGTGTTCTTCCAATCAGACATTAAGAAGATGAGAAAGAAGTAGATGATAGTAAAGAGTGGCATAGTGCCTAAGGCATCTGACTGCTAACCAGAATGCTGGTGGGGCCACTCTGAGGAAAGGAGACTGGACAATTTACTTCTATAAAGATTTACCACCTCAGAAATTCAAAGGGAGTCGCTGTAAATCAGATCTGACTCCATGGCAAAGAGTTTGGTTTTTTGAGTAAGATTAAATTACGGATTTCTCAGTTACAGGTTTGTGGTGCTAAATGTAAAGGCTTTGTGAAGTCATACGATGATGTGGACGGTCAATCCAAAACCCATCCATTGTAATTTTTGTTTTGGAGCTTTACTTACAGCGGGTGGGCGGATCTTGCAAATACCCGACTTCTCCGCGATGGGCCTGATTTTCGCTATGTAGCCTAGCGGGTCTCGGAACTCGGCCCAGCTAGGCTCGAACACCGGGCACTCCGGAGGCGGTAGGAAGTCGTCAGACCCTGGCTCCATGATTGTCGCTAATCTGTAAAACGAAACTGGGGCTTTCTTCAGTGGCTCATAGATCTTTCTTGAGCCTAGAAATTAAGGCCCAGAAGAGCTTTATTTTATTGCTAATTCTTAAATTACTTTAATTGGCCGTAGTATCTGCTTACCAATTGTCAGGATTTCATTTTTTACAACCACCACCTTGAACAGAGGTTTTCCGTCTTCTCACGCCGTCTCACTCCGCGGATCGACTCCGCGGATCGATTCTTCACGCTGTGAATTATCGCCAAACCTAAAAGAGATTCTGCTCTTTAGGCAGAAGTTGGAAGACTCAGGGGCGATTCGCCGTGAAATACCCTTAAATTAGCCGCTGGAGTTACACAAACTACTTCTCCACTAGAACGGAAGAACAAGATTATAAATAGTACCATAGGAACTTTTTTTTTACTGGTTCCACCGCGCATGTTACGCCTGCGCATTGCAGAAAACAACAAAGAAAGGAACGTGTTTGAGCAATAGTTTTCGTCTTAGGGAAAAAAAAAAATCACTCCTTTTTTTGAAATTGAAATTTAGAGGGTAGCTCTTTTTATTTCTTAGCATTTCACAATGTGAGCGCATATACGAAATTTCTTTCTAAAGTCCAACAAGGGTCTCCATTTCTGCACCTCCTTTTATAGGGAGACAACCCGTGAATTGCAGTTTACAATCAGTATAAATTGTTTATACATCTAACTTACGTCACTTATACAGGCGCCTCGGAAGAAAGGTTTGATGATCTAACGCCAAGAAAATTAACGTTTAAAACTCTAGGGAGCACAGTTTGTCTTGCTGGCAACAGTTTTACTTTAACCTCACTTAAAAGGCACCAGCTATGCACATAATTTTGTTACTACATTTTTAATAAATTCGAGATTGACCGTCACCGAAAGATGTGCTAAAGAAACGCATTTATATACGATGATGCATATCTGTAACCCTTAAAAATAATGATAATAATAATTTAAGAAAAATGAGCACACTTAGTGGAAAAACAATGAGTACTAAAACAGCTGGCCAAAAATTAAGTCTGGCATGAAACTGAGGGTGGGGAAGAGGGGAAACAAATCAAAACCTCAAGTAGACGAGATTTGTTGAACGAACAGAGAACTTGACTAAGCTAAAATCTAAGGGACCAAGCAAAAACCTGGTCTCGTATCTTACAGTGCTAGGGAAGAAGTGGAATCTGAGTTAATCATAACTCTTAGGAAAGTAGTTGGGAAGGGGGAAGAACAGCCTGTGTCTCCCCCCCCCCCCTTTTAATAAAGGATTTATATTGATCGATTTTCTGATTGAATTGTGGTTTCTGTAACATACTGATTTATTCTCAGGTTTTATTTTAATAATGAATGGTTTCCTTTTCTGCCTAAATTTTATTACATTTTAAAGTAATCTCAGTGAATGAACTGTAATTTTACTTTTTTGTTAAAAATCAACTTTATACTTTAAAATGTGTTTGTCGTGTCTTGTCCTCTACAGGGGAGCTCTGGTAGCATAGTGCCTAAGGCATTTAACTGCTAACCAAAAGCCTGGCAGTTCAAACCCACTAGCCACTTCTCAGAGGGAGGATTGGGCAATCAACTTCAATAGTGATTATTGTTATTGTTACGTGCCATGGACTCTAGTCTTCCCGTACTCATAGTGAGTCCTCTTTGGGTTTCCCAGGCAGTAGGACTAGAGAAGTAAATTATCCAACCTGACTTCCGAGGAGTGGTTGGCAGATTTGAACCGGCAGCCTTCTGGTTAGCAGTCAAGTGCCCTAGGCACTACCCTATCAGAACTTCCATAGTGATAACTGCCTTGGAAACCCTAAGAGGGGTCGCTATCAGTTGGATCCGACTGGATGGCAGTGTGGTTTTTTGGTTTAGTTCTCTACAGTTTTGAATAATTTATTGTGGAAAGTATTGCTTTTTTCTTTTGAAAAATATTTTTTAAAATTAACAGTAGGCTGGTAAGAGCTAGACTCTAATAAAGGAATTGAGTACCTGAGGTTTGTTGGTCTACTTGAATATTATTCTTTATTTTACACTGTTTCTGGTATTTTCTTTCTTCCAGAAGTTTATCTACTTTATCAATCTTTTGATAAATAATGATAGATTAATTATAGTATAATTTTTGCTGCTTAATTTTCCTGTTTCATTTCGAAGAGGTTTGATATACATGTATTTCTCTATTCATAAAACTAGATTCATTCTGGTTTATTTTAGCCTATATTATTAATCTGTTTTGTGGTTTGATCTTTTTTTCCCCTCAACATCCAGTTGTTTCTAAGTAATTTGATGAAGAGTCTGTTTTTCTGTTAAAATGGTATTGGCACCCTTGTCAAAAATTAATTGGCCATACATATATAGATTTATTTCTGGGCTTTCAATTCTGTTCCATTGATTTATGTCTATTTTTGTGGTAATGATATACTGTATTGTTACCTGTAGATTTATGTAAAATTTTGAATTGGGATGTAGGAATCCTCCTACTGCATTCTTCTTTTTCAAGATCATTTTGGCTTTTTTATGTTGTTTCATTCCCGTGTGAATTTTTTTATTAACTTGTCTGTTTCTACAAAGAAGCAAGCTAAGATAATGATTGGAAATCTGTTTCCTCTACAGACAAATTTGGGAGTATTAGCATCTTAACACTGTTAGCAAGTCTCTTGATCCATGAACAAGGGATGTCATTCCATTGATTTAGGTCTAATTTTTTTCTGCGTTTTGCTGTTTTCAGTGCACATATCATGCAATTATTTTTGTTAAACTTATTCCTGATTATAAGGAGCTCTGGTAGCAGTGGGCCCAAGGTATCTGACTGCTAACCAGAAGGTTGGTGCTTCAAACTCCCCAGCCACTCTGTGAAGGGAAAACCAAAACCAAACTCACTGCCGGGGAGTTGGAGCCAACTTATAGCAATCCCTTCCTTGAATTTCTGAAGCAGTGCCATTACGGGAGTAGATTGTCCAACCTTCTTCCAAGGAGTGGCTGATGGGTTTGAACCACCAGCCTTCTGGATAGCAGTCAAATGCACAGGCGAATTTACTTGGGTAAAGAATTACTGCCTCAGAAACCCAAAGGGGCACACTATGAGTCGGAATCAACTCAACAGTTGTGGGTTTGGGTTGTGTGTGTGTGTGTGTGTGTGTGTGTGGTTTATTACTAGTTATATTATTCTTTTTGTGTTATTGTAAATAGAATTTTCTTAATTTCCTTTTCTAGTGTTCATTGGTAGTACAGAATTGATTTTTACATATTGATGTGTTATGCAATTTTGCTAACCTCATTTATCCTGATAGGTTGTTGTGTATGGATTCTAGTATTCTTTGTATAGAAGATCATGCCATCTGCAGGTAGTTTTTTATACTCCTCCAACTAGAACTGTCAATATTATGTTATAAATAGATGTAGTGATAGAAGATCCTGTCTTCCTGCTGATTTTAGAGGGAAAGCATTCAGTCTTTCACTAGTTATAATGATGTTGTTATTGGTTGCCAATGAGTCTTTTCCAATTCATGGTGACCCCATAGGGTTTTCAAGATTGTGACCCTTCAGAAGCAGATTACTAGGCCTGTGTTCTAAGGTGCCTCTGGGGGGTTCACAGTGCCAACATTTAAGCTAATAGTTGGCACTTACTTGGTATGCCACCTAGGAACTCTCAAGTATGATGTTACCTGTGAGTTTTTGAGCATGCCCTTTATCAGGTTGAGATTAGGTTATAATCAGAAATGAAATATTTATGTTTTAATCCATGCTTGTCCCTCCAGAATTGGATAACTCTTAATGAGCATTTTTCTTATTACAGCAATGTAATTAATTGTAAAGAGCCTTGATGATACAGTGGTTAAGCACTTGGTTAGCCAGTCAAAAGCTCAGAGATTCAAACCCACCAGTTGCCCTGTAGGAGAAAGATGTGACAGTATGCTTCCATAAAAATTACAGCCCTGGTCAATTGGCATAACATACTATACAAAACATTGTTCCACCTACTACTTTGGCGAGTAGCGACTGGGACCTTAAAAGGTAGGAAGCTGCCATCTAGATGCAACAACAGGTCTCTCCTTGTCAAGAAGAAAGAAGAAAACCAAAATTAATGGAAACAAGCAGTCCTAGCGACTGGTACACCATCCGATCTGCAACCTAT